TGTGTGTCAGTACACAAACATACTAGTCCGACAGTCATTGCACACCAGCTTTTTAAAGCAAAAGTCCCATTTTTTTCACATAACCTTTTTGCATGTATTTAGAGGATTGTTTGACATAAAATATGGGAATAAGAAATATAGGAGAGGAACAGTTTAGAATAAAAAACTTACTCCTTATTGAATGCTACACATTATACACCATATGCTTTCAGCTTTAATTTAAACAGTAAAATATAAATTAAAATATCACAGTATGTTGGTGCTGGCATTTCAAAAATACCTTGAGTGTCTTTTTTAAAGTATTTTATTTGATTTCCAGTTTAAAAAAAAAAAAGAATAATACATAAAACAAGATAAATGAAGCAACCATGCATTAGATATTTAGACTTGTTTTCATAAATTATATCTTGATTATAAGTATGTTAAATTTATAAAACCATCCCTTATGTTTTATGCTGTGTTGTTTTTGAAGCAAGTTGTTTTGGGGTATTTTTAGATATTTTAACTGGAAAAAAGTCAAAGTACACTTTTATTTTTTTTTGCAGTATAGTTATCATCTCTGAAATAAAATCGTTATTTGGACATCTTTAATTCAGTTTCATTGGAGATTGTCTTAACTTTTGACGGATTAATCAAAAAATAAGTTTAAAAAGTTTTTAGTCTTAAATTGGAAAAAAAAATCCAGTTAAAATTATATAAAAAAATCCATATATCTTGTTTTAGACATTTTTAGACAATGCAACTGAAAAATGAGTCAAAATACAAATTTTTGGCAGTATAGTTATAAAATAAAACGGTTACTTGGACATATTTAATTCAGTTTCATTTGAGATTGTCTTAACGTTTGGTGGATCAATTGAAAAATAAATCAAAAAAGGGAAAGCATTGTGCATTTCGCATTGCATTGTGGGATGCAGTATATCATCCATTGTGCTGCGCAAATCTAGCAGTCATCTCGATATTCTAAGCATTAAAATAAAAGTATGCATATTAAATCCTGCTAGCACTCTAAGTCTTCACCTCTCTCTCCTAATCAGTTCCACCCATTCAGGAAAAAAAAACAAGAATGTGGTTGATTCCACAAACAAATCAATCATGCCCAGGCATTGGCCACTAATTGAATTACACAAATGGGACTCTAGGTGCAGGAAAAAGTGTGTGTGTGCTGAAGATGGTCAGGCTCCTGTTGGTCGAGAGCTGTTACTGAGCCTAATCAAGCATACCAAGTGCCGTCACATGCACACGGGCTCTAATAGACAGCTGCATGGTTGTGCTGGTCATGGTTCACGGCTCCCCTCGACTCCACACCTGGCTGCCATGCTCCACGCCCCAGCAGAGCTGCCTCCTGACACGGCCTCCACTTTACAGACAGCCCAGCCTGTTTCCCCCATGATCCGGGATTGGATGGATGACGAGAGATGACAAGACTTCATCTCCCGAGGCCATCGCTAAAGTCCGAACCGGTCACAGGTCAACGGTTACCCCGTGTCCGTCAGTCACAAGCGCACACCAACTCCGGCTGTTCGTGACAAAAACACTTAATGGCCAGTTTAAAGGACACGGGTCGTCTTGACACCGAAGCAGTGGAGAATTCCCAAAAATAGCTTTTTGCAGTGCGTGTCTAGTTGGTTTGCCAGCAAAGCCTGATCAGCAGAAGTCCATCAGTAGGCCTGTAGAGCTTGAGAGATTGCCACAGAATCAGAACCGCTGTCAGTCACCAAGACTTTGTGTGTTTGTTCATTAAATACTTATTTTATTATACTAATTTGGCTCCACCAACAAACTCCACCAAATTCCGACAATTTATGATTGTCAGTCAGCTTACTCATAGTACACTCAGAAGGCATTTGAATCCATTAATGTATTCGTTATTGTTCAGCTTCAGATAATAGTTCAGAGCTAGAGGGCTCATGTCAGTTAGCTGGTTGCGTCTTAGCACAGATATTCAGAAAATTACTTCCACTTGCCTTTTATCATAAAGGGTATTGTGCGGTGTTATGACTCTTTGAGCTCGACACTATTGGTTAAAGTAAGATAACAGCTTGTTTTGTCGCAAGCGGTGCCACTAACGGAAGGCTACACCGGCAGCCTCAAAGACACCATGGGCAGGATGGATAATGGAAATTCAAAATGTAATTATACATAACAGATAATAATTGAAAACATTCTCGGGCTGAGCGAAAGGGAGATTTGAGGGAAGAGTGAGAGGGATCAAAGACATTTTGTTCAGTTTCCGACATGTTAAATGTAGTCAGGGAATGGTTGTTAAAGACCCCTCTTGCGTAGTTAGCTAGTGACTGTTTGGGGGAAAAGCACAAAATGGGATGCACAGTAAGACTAGGAAAGTAACAGAGGATGTAGACACCTTAATAAGGTTTATGTTAACTTTTCCTCACTGTACCAATGAGAAGTAAAGACAAAGAAATTGATAGACTTGAGAAAGACTGCTAAAGTAGGAACAGTGTAATTCCCTCCCTCCCTCAGTGAGCTTTTCCAAACCCAAGCGGAAACAGGGAAGGGGAAAAAAACACAGCTGCAAATATGTAATGAAGTCAGTGGGGAATCGTCAATCGGCTGAATAACAAGCAGGAGTACCCAAAATAGTCCAGTTCAGGCAGGAAGGAGCCCTGAGAAAATTTGCTTGCTTTGGAGCCGCTGGGAATTAATTTGAATTTAATGAATTTGGATATGCTATGTTCCTTGCTAAGATTTCCTCAATGACATTACTCAATCATTAGCTAGCTGTTCATAGAAAAGGGCATCAAACCCCACCCCAGCGAAGGCGAGAAAGAAAGATGGGGAGAATTCAGAGCTTCCCGAGAGCTTGGCACACCACTGTGGCATGGATTATTTATCAGCCCCTGCTCCAATAACATTGAAATTTGTGCCTTTTTTATCTGCAGTCCGAGGCTCCAGAATTGACGAGAGGAGGAGGTTGCATGCCTGGTGGAGATTTCCACCAGATTTTTCGTCGGCGTCATGTAGCACAGGTTGCACGCGAGCGGTTCCCTTTCGGCTGCGCACCTGAGGAGACTTTAGAATGCTTTCCAAGCCCACCTGCTGTCGCCCGGCCGCCCGCTGCGCCAATGTGCACATCAAATGATCCGTGTACCAGCACACACACTTTAGAAACTACCTTCCATTTTTGTCTCCCCCTGCCACGCCTCTAAACTCCCTGATCCCATCATGCTGTTGATCCGCCGCGAGCAGGTGTGAGTCATCGACCCAGAAGCCAGAATCTCATTGGCACCCAGAATGTTCCACAGGATGCAGACTGTGTGCTTAAACCACAGCGTGAGTCCCTGCTGTTGATGTCCCGCCACCGCATGTGGCGGTAGCCGAAGGTTGACGTCTTCGTTCAACCAGAATTAACGTCTCTTAAGGAGAGACGCTACCTGTCGAAAAGCAGTGGTAGAGTACTTGAAGATAGATAAAGATGAGTTGGTGTTGGGTGGCTTAGTGGGTAAAGCTCCAGTGGTAACGGAAAGGTTCTTGGCTCCAGAGGAAAGCCGTTAACATTCCTAGTCATCTCAATCGCAGTTGCTCAGGTGGTACTTTTAGGCCTAAATTCTGCCACCTTTGCTTCAAGGGAACTCTGTAGTTGCAAATGCATCAGCAGCAGACTGGAAACCACAGGAAAGTGCGTCTAATGCTGTTAAGAGCCCTCAAAACAATTGATCACATTTTATATAATATAATGATAATGGTGCTTGCCTAAAATGTTTTCAGAGGCCGTCAGAATACCTCTTATCGAGTTTGTACTAGGATGGTTGGGTTTAGTGATTTAGTCCTTGTTGGTAACAACAGTATTTTGGTTTGCAAAAATCATACTTTCTCATCGACGGCCTTCAAGAGTACGGCGACAAATGCAGTAGTGGCTAACTGAAGCTACTCAGCAAATCCAACCACCTATGTTAAGAGCCCTCGAAACAAATGATCACATATAGTAAAATAAAATGTTTTCACAGGCAGTCAAAATACCTTTTATGAAGTTTGAGCTAGGGGGTTGGTTTCTATGATTTAGCCTAAAAAAATTAGCCACTGTTAGTAACTACAGCATTTTGGTGGCAAAAACAAACAGGAGGGGCTGACTTTCTCATGCTATTCATTGAACCCATCCCCTTTTTCAAACCCTGTAAACTTAACCCCTAGCCCCTAACCCTAGTCATTACCATGAGTAAGACCTTTAGTACATAGGTGAATTCATGGTGAAGTTGCACCGTACGTTTCTTTGAATAAGGATTTGTATGCTAAGTGGAGCTTAATATACATTTTTCAGCATATATGACAATGACCTTGGTTACAACCCAACCCTGGGGCCTAATATGGAGGAATATCTAGTGTTTATCATGTACGGCCAATAGCCATTCTCAGTTCTGCAAGTTATTTTTATAATGGAACGTCTGAGACTGTTTTAAGGCATTGCATTAGCACAGACGACTCTTGACGCTAACATTAAGAGGAGTTGAATCTCCAGGTTGAAGACCCTAATAAATCGAGACAGATGCATTTTGCGCATGTATTATTTATTTAATGCATATTAAAAAAGACAGTGTATGGGATGGGTTTTGCCCGCTGTGTACCAAATAACTTTGTTCTGGATCAATTATTCACCGGCCATTATAAAATGGGTCAGAGAGTTGTTTTTTCATTATTATAGCTATTATTGTTCTCCCACTAGAAAAGATGCAGACGCTCCATCTCAAAATGACGGCTATACAGTTTCAATGAAAATTCTGTCATTTACTCATGTCGACCCAAACCTGTCTGAATTGCATTCTTCAGTAGAATACAAATGATGATATTTCAGCATTAGACTTTATTTTCATTGAATGGAGAAAAAATTTCTTCTTTTGCATTCTACAGAAGAACAAATAAAGGTTTCGATTAACATGAGGGTGAGTAAATGATGACAGAATGATAATTTTCAGGTGAACAATCCATTTATTTATTAATTAATTTACAAATTATAAAATGCATAGTTGCGTCTATAAAAAAACAATATTTAATTGTGATTACCATAAATGATAAATGATTGACTATTGGTGTGTTCTATCAGTTATCACCCGTTTATTAAAGAAATATGCCACAAGAGGCCTTACTTTTGCAGTGACATTACCACGGTAAGGGTATTTTGTGCACATTATACCTTATAGCGTCTCTTAACCATGGTAAAATCAGAGTAAAACTATGACTTTATGTGGATTATTGCTATTTTACTCTGTTTTGAAATATTTAAGTCATTCAATTTTATAAGACCTTAAACAGTGTTAGATGTTCAGTAACATTTGATCTGATGTCTCGTGACATTTCAGTAATTGGCCGACTGGAGATTTCTGAAATTCATTCAAATTACAGCAGCGATAATTAACTCAACATAGGTATGCAAATTTCTCACTGATTATGCACATACTGCATTAAGACCGTATCCCGTCTCCTTTTGTTTTGTTTTCAAAGCTTAATAACGGAGTACAATCAAATGTTTTCTGTTCTAGAGTTAACGACACTTGAAATTAGCAGCTACGATGGAGGAAACAACCCGCCCATTTATACGAGCAAAACTGCATTTACGTGTCGCATAATAGCGCAACACTTTTAGAATCGGTTGCCTTGATTGTAGCTGCTAACTTTAATGCTAATTATGTGGTTTTTATTTGTACGGTCGGTTTGATTTGGTTTGCACTTTGGGTTGTTTCATTGATTTCTGTTTTTGTGTCTTTGTTTTGTTTCTGTAATTAAAGCCGCAACGGCAGTTCTTCAGGTGGCTTAAGACCTTGTAATTTTGCATTGTTATAACATGCTTGAACAGACTCCAGTGGGCGAACGCAACCACTGGAGTGAATCAAACTGTTTGGGGTCAAAGCAGGTTAACGCGGCAGACATGTCGCGTGTCACGCAAGAAATAATCAGGCCACATCAGTCAGAGAAATGTAGCAGCTAAAAGCCTTGAGGTGGCCTTTTTTACTCTCTCTGTGTTTCCCCTATTTTTCTCTTCTCCTCATGTCATTGTGTTCTGCATCAACCCCTTTACATCCCTCAGAGCTTCGAGAAGGTTGGTGTGTTTTTTCTTTTTTCACTTTTTTTAACCCACATTAAAAACGCAAAATCAACATGTATTAAAACCTTGACCTTGACTGATCTATTGGAAGGATCATTGGCAATTTCGGAGTTTAAAATGAAGCTGCTAAATAACTTTTAAATTCTGAGAAATTTGATTTAATTGCATAAACTAGTAGTAACTAACCCGATAATTTGGGTTCGTTTTCCTTTTTTACGTTTAAGTTTGCATTGTGGGGCCTTTTCTCGTTCGCATCTTTCAGTATTGCTTCTGCCCAAAGAAAATGCTTATGCTGTCATGGAAATCTCGCATTTGAAAGTAAACCACGGCCTGATGCATGATGGGAGAATGTAACTGCGCTTGCATGCCTCGAGATGCAAATCCTTTGGCTGTCGTGTTTTGTTGCATTCCTGTGTTTTCGTGAGGTTTATTATTTTCTTTGTTTTTGTCCAAAACGACAGTTTAAGCCTTTGTTGGCGACTCATTTAGTCCGTTCCTTGTGTTGTGGTGTTCTTGTGATGTGCACCCTTAGTTTTGTCCATTTTCGACTCCCTCTCTGTTCTAGTTTCTGGTTTGTTAGATGTGGTTTGTGTTTCTGTGCACTGTCGTCTCTTGTAGGCTGTTTCTACAGACAGTTTTCCCACCATCTTCTCAATTACAAAGCCGTTCTTGCACACAAAAGCTTGCAAATTCACTTCTGCTAATTAGTTTTTTGTGACACATGGATCATTGGCAGATATAATGATCTCCGCACTTCATGTGGCCCCCCCAGAAAACAGACTTTATTTCACAGCCACAACAAGCTAGTGATATTTCCTCGTGATGACTGACTGCCTCTTGCCCTTTCGCCGTCCGCAGGCTCAATCAAATCAGGATTTATCATCCGCTCGAGTCCTTGTTGCCAGCGTATATCTGAAGCGCTTCTTACATCACCACAACGTGCCGTATTAAAACCCCCAAATTAGACCAGAACAAAAAACTGGTGCTTTGTTTGTGAGTCTCTCGATGCTAATCCAATGCAGCTGAGTGCAGTAATTGCACGCCTCTTTCATATGCATATCGAAGACCCATCTGCCTTTGGCTTGTAGGTAATTTAGCTTTACGTGTTGGTTGCATGCAGATCCGTTGCAACCACTAATATTTACCATTTTTGTGACCGTCCACAGTTTTTGGGAGATTTTCAGAAACGTATATCTAAGTATAAAATACCTAAGCATACTTAAAACAAGATAAATTTACTTGAGAACCAAAACTGTGTACATTCAAACTTCTGTATTAGATAAAAATTTAGATAATGTCTTAAATTTAAAATTTCTTTTAATTTTTTTTTTCTTATCCAATTGGCATTTTTTTAAATCAAAATCTTACAAATCTTACAAAATCTTTCAATTTAATTTAAATTTAAATTACATTTTAAATGAAGTTTAAATATCTTTAAGTTTTTTTTTCTTGCGCCCTTGCTTTTCTTAACGCAAAAAATGCATTTGATTAGTTTTTCTAAACCCCATTAACACAAAAACAAAATCTTATGAGTTTATGTTTTAAAGTTTAATTTAACTCATTTTTAAATTGAAATGTTTAAGTTTAAATATCAATTACTTTTTTTTTCTCGTCTAAATAGCGTAGGTTTTTCTTTACCCCTTTGGAATTTTTTAAAGCATAAAACATACAAAATTTGATTAGATTTATGCTTAAAACTGGAAAAGGTTTTATAAAAAATAAATAAAAATAAAATAATAAGTAAATAAATAAACAAATTCACATATAAAACAAGTATAATTAGAGTACAAAATTTTGTTTCTCAAGTAACTTATTTTGCATACATTTACTCGAAAACAAGACAAATGTATTGATAAACAGTTTTTAATCGTTTTTAAAACTTTTTAGATTGTACCTACAATTATGGTCACATGTGTTGCCGATAGGATTAAATATCTTGTCACCGAATGTGGTAAACATCCCTGTGAAATATTTGACCATTCATTAGTGGTTGCAATTCATTAATTATTTTTTCTTTTTCTTTTTTTTTTTGTAGCTGTACAATGATGAATCAGGCGGAAAGCTTGCATTTAGTCAGACAAGTTTGTCCAATCGTGCGGATGGCTAACTCTCGGCTGATATCTCATCGCTCTCCCCAGTGTAGTGATGTTTCAGATGGCCGTTTGTCTGTCTGTCAGGGATAATGACATAGAACAAGAGCCTCTGCTTCACTTGGCTAATGCTAATGTGTTGCCGGCTATCTCGTGATGTCTGAGACTAAATGGCTCTCTGAATTATTCAATTTTTACAGACACTGTGTTGTTTGGAGGGGGCGACGCCACATGAATTGAGAGTATAAATAATGAAGTGCGCTTTGCCGCTACTGTCTCTCAGGGTCTGGCATTTATTGACAGAGCTTTATTTTTCATATCCGGCTGTTCCCACTGTGATATCTGTGCCCCCTGTACCCTGATAGCTTGTTACTGCTGGCTAGCATGTAGATAGTGTAACAGAATGAACGTATTAGCTTTCCCTAGCTGCATGTTAAACGGACTGAACAGTTAGCAAAAACAAAAACAATTTTAAACATTAAAGAAATGTAGCAGTGCTAGTGGCTAACATGCTGTAGCTTGAAAATGAGACTAGCAAAACATTTTCAGTTTTTGTGAGCTAATGTTGTGCTGCAAAAAACAACAACAACAACATTTCAATTCCATTTGCAGTTTTAATGGCTAGCCACTCTTTTCAAATTTCTCTCTATATTTTTGACTAGATCTTCTTGTTAGCTGTCTACCTCAGGCGTGGAAGGCAATTGCCTCCGTATGGCAAAATCCCCCTCTGAGCCTAGACTTATCTAGTTCTCTTCTATTTCACGCCGAATTAATAACAGAAATTACGATTCTTCTTGTTCCAATGAAGTCTCTAATCTTTCATTGTTGCCGCCTGACAATGAAGCTCTCATCTGTTCCTCCATTCAACTCCACATAATGCCAAAATGTTAAGGATTCAAGATCCCAGGATGTTTCCAGGGCATTATTAATAGTAATTAGTCCCCGAGACGAGGAAAGTGAGACCTCACAGATCCACTCCGAGATGCTGGAAGACTGAGCTGTACCGAATGCCATGCTAAATGCTATGAGGATGTTCGGTGCATGCGCATGTAGATGCATGTGAACCCCACTGCCACCACTTTGGGTTGTGTTGCATGTCCTTGCATGCTGTTTTGGAGTACAAATAGAAATGCAAGCTAGATCACACCCTCTACTTGTCAGAACGAAGGCTAACTTTGATCCAAATAAGTGTCGTAAAGGGGCAGTTTTTTTTGCCAAATCTAAAATGCAGTTCAGCCTCAGATTTTCACTAAGCGCTACTTATGCATTGACCAGACAATCAGGAGGTAGTGTTTTACAAATGCTCCATTTTTCATTATTAGAACTAGTCCGAACCCCAACTGAGGCTGCTTTGCATTGCAGCGGCAGAGGTGTGTGTGTGTGTGTGTGTGTGTGTGTGTGTGTGTGTGTGTGTGTGTGTGTTATAATACGGGGAACCCCTGCCGTCTACATGCAAATGGCCTTGCTACCTTCCAGCAAAATGGATTATTGCAGGTTTTGGACATCAAACAGGGTGTAATCTCAGCTTCAAGGTGACATTAAAGGCTGCGCATTATTTTGGCTTCCCTTCCTACCTTAATTTTGGGGCTGGACAGACTGTCTCACCAAAATGGCCATGAATGTCCACCTTCGAGCGAGGCACTCTTTGGCCTTTTTATTTTGTCTTTCTCTGTCCGTTATAAGACCTCTTGAGTTGTCTTTCTCTCCACATTGGGCTTGAAATGGGATTTCGTCTCTGGACCTCAAAGAGATTGCTCTCGGCCTGCTGGGCTCCTGGTCGTATTGAATGAGGAGCATGTCCGTCCAATTGGACTGTTCTATATTCCTCTGAATATCACAGCGGAGAGCACCATCGCACATCATACGTCAGGATTTGAGCTATAGGGCTGTGTGTCAGGACTTAGATAAAGCCCAGAATGACTTCATGCAATGGCATTTCAAAGGCCGATGCATCGATAGCGGCAGCTGTAAATGTCGACATGCATCTGAAAACATTAGACCCGCTTACGATTCCCCCTTTTGCCACAGTTTATTTGAGAATGATGCTTTGTTGCCTGTGACTTTGAAGTTGCCAGGCTCCTCACAGTCTTTTCAAATGGTTGTCCCGTTTCGAAAATGACCCGATTGTGTCTGACTTTTGATTATAATTGGGAACGTTGAAGTGCAGATTGAGCGTGCAACAATAGGATGAATGATTCACAAGGTTGCAGCCCTCATTCGCTCAACTACCTTAGCAATTGGTCAAACCGAATTTGACAATAGGAAAACGAACTTCAGCTTTTAGCCTCTTGCAGACTTGATTAAAGAACGGCCAAATGTTGCTTCATGCAATGGCATTTCAAAGGCCGATGCATCGATAGCGGCAGCTGTAAATGTCGACATGCATCTGAAAACATTAGACCCGCTTACGATTCCCCCTTTTGCCACAGTTTATTTGAGAACGATGCTTTGTTGCCTGTGACTTTGAAGTTGCCAGGCTCCTCACAGTCTTTTCAAATGGTTGTCCCGTTTCGAAAATGACCCGATTGTGTCTGACTTTTGATTATAATTGGGAACGTTGAAGTGCAGATTGAGCGTGCAACAATAGGATGAATGATTCACAAGGTTGCAGCCCTCATTCGCTCAACTACCTTAGCAATTGGTCAAACCGAATTTGACAATAGGAAAACGAACTTCAGCTTTTAGCCTCTTGCAGACTTGATTAAAGAACGGCCAAATGTTGCATCGCCCATTTTGACGCCCACACGCAAAATGTGCCAGCAGAACTCATATAGCATGTGTGTTTATTTAATATATTGGCTTATTTAACATATTTACCACATTTTACCATATTTATTTCCCTAAAATCAGTGCAGGAAGTGCAAAAGCATCAGCAAATTACGTCTGGGCCTTTCCATCATTAATCTACACTACAAGCATCATGCTCGTCTTGTCATTGTCACGTTGCACTGTGTTCTGTCACTGTTAAAACACACCTGCACTGCGATTATCTGTGTGTGCTGTGTCGAATTCACCAATTCCGACATTTCAGTTGTGTGGATTCCCTAAAATGTTGCACTTGGGGAGGGTTGCATGCCTCAATTATGTGTTAAATGTAGCTGTAGGCCTGGTTGATAGTTTGGTGCCGTTCTGTTGACGTCATTCCTTCAATCACAGTCATGCATGCACATTGTGATACGTGGGCTGCCCTTTCAACTTTGTTGAACATTTGTTCAATATGCATTTATATGGGGGTGGGGGTCGTTTCAGTATGTCATTGTTTATTTTAATGTTGTTTTTGTTTTCTAAACAAATAAAGAAGTATTTAAAGGAGTGATCCAGGTTCAGTGCAAATGAAGCTCGGTTGCATTTGTGGCGTAATGTTGATTACCACAGAGAATAATTTAGAGGCACACCATTTAAACCACTTTTTTTTTTATAATAATAATAAAACATATTATGTTCAAATTTTTATTTTTTTTTATTGTAATTATTTAAATTTTTTATGGAAATCATCATTATGCCTCCAAATGCTATGGATAGAGCTTGACTTCAATTGAACCTGGAAATTTCCTAGAAATAAATTGCTATTTTAACTTTAATTCATTAACTTAAATTAGTTTTTAAAAATCTGTATCAAAATAGATACATTTATTATAAAATGTATTAACACACTGTTAAATATTATTATAAATATTATACATTTATAAACTAATGATATAAAGGTAACTTGATCTTATTTTACACAGTGATTATGAAATGGATTGAGTTATAATGTGATTTTCACTCACTGGACACCAACCGAGATCATCCATCACACTGGCTCTCTGATACTGAATATATTCATGTTTAATTATCGCTGTAAACTATAGATACAGAATTTAGAATGTAACGCTAGAGCCTGTTGCCTTGACTATAACAGTATTTCTAAATTTAAAAGTACTTAGTTTCAAAAAGTTTTTAAAATTCTAAATTTTGCCGCCAACATTCAAACTAGATTTAAACCCACTGAACTTTCGATGGCATTTAATTACAAATTCAAGACTTTATGCTCTTTGGCTGCTGTTGTCCAAGGCGATGGTGAGAGGTTATTCAAGCCCCATTGTGAGAGAAGTCAAACCAACATGCTTTTACTCCAGTTGGCCCAGTGTTACAGTCTCCTCTTTGCCCCAATCCCCACCTCTCACTCCCAGTGTTATTTCCCTTCTGTCTCTGTCCCACATGTAACGTTCACCACTTTGTCCTTCCAGTCTGTCTGGCCCCGTCTGCTGTCTTGCAGCCTAGGTCTTGTTCTGCCTTGTGCCCTGTCTCTACCAGTTGTTCCTGACCTCGTTTTGTCTATGTGGGGTTGTTAATTTTCTTTTTTTGTATTGGTTTGGTTGTTTGTTTGTTTTCTGAGCTAGCCCTAGCACCCATTGCTGTCCCTCTGTCTTTCCTTTCTCCTCTTGCCAAATGTAAATGAGGCATGACCCCCTCACCACCCACCATCTTATGACACACCTAGCACTACACTAGTTCCTGTTTCATTGTCATTTTACAGCCACCGACATCAATAAGGCAGTTGCCTTGACAATTCTTGGGGAAACCAATCTATGAAGTTTGGCACAATTCAAAATTTTACATGTAATATGTAGCACTTCTTTAACCTGAATGCTATTGCTTTATTGCTGGTAACATCTGTATTCTAATTGTAAGTCTATTCCAAAACCTTGCAAGAAAACGAACTAGATGTATAAACATACACCTAATACCCAGTGTTTTATAAGCAACTTTATGGAGATATCTAGTTTTGGCTACGTGATAAGATAGAATTGCATGTATCCTTCTGGTAAAAGGTAAATCAAAAAATCCGGAAGCGGAAGGTTTATGGAATAATTTCATTCAAGATGTTTCAGTCTAATTAAAAATGTACTGCTTTGCCCAATATTTGCATCAGACTTGGAAACGGTTGTGAGTTGGGTCTTTGGAGTATTTGTGTACTTGGAAAATTCCCTTAGAAGGTAACGGCCTAGGCAGCTTGCTAGGTTTTGGAACAGAGTCTGTATTTTAGAGACATTTAAGTTTCCATTGTTTCTTGACTTTTCAACGAGTCATGTCAAAATAGCAAGGTTACCAAGAATGAACATGCCAGACAGGCTATGAAAGAAGCCTGTTGCACAACCTGGCCAACTCCATCTCTGCCATAACTCATATCCAACCCTTTCCCCCAACAGATCCTTCATCTTTTCTCTCGTGTGTAGGTTTGGCATCTCAGTAGTTGAGGTGCATCGCTGTCATCATCATAGACTAGCATATGTATCAGTCATGTGACCTTATTTGGTCAATTTGTAATCATTTTCTTTCGGTTTCTTGTTTTTTTAATTTTTTAAATGTGTGTGATAGTTAGTTGAGTTGAACTGACAGCTACTTTATTGACTGAATCCAGAATTTCCGCTGTAAATTTTGTTACGTCTAGCCAGGACCGCAATGTGACAATACGATCCTGTCACATTACGTCATATTGGCTCGAGACGATAAAAAGCCTTTCTCTGCATTGAAGTGGGTTTCCCCCCCTCGTTCCGTCTCCCAACCCTTCCCTTTCTTCCTCTTTCTTGCTCTTTTGCGCGTTCTATTCTCTTATATTTATATTTTATATTTTTTTTCCTCTCCAGTTGTCTTTTGTCCGGGCATGCTAGCGACCCTTCAGTTATATTCCTCTATGCATTTTATCTCAAATTCTTCTCTCTGGTTATATTGTTCCCGTTTACTCTTTGGTTGACCTCTACCTATTTCTGCATGATGTCTGTGAAAATGACAGCTGCATCTATCAATGGAAGCGTGTCAGATCTTAAAAAGGCTTTGTCTAGTTGATCTACTCTCAACCACAAAAATCTGATTAAGGTTTCTCATCTTTATTCCCTCTTGAAGGGATTCACTTCTACTAGTGCATGTACGTACCAACATGTACGTACAGTTGTGTTTATGTAAGATTTCTTTAGCATGGGCAGATTTTTAAAAAATTTAAAAAAGTTTTGTTCTTCACACTATTCTATACTCTTGGAGTATTTTCTATTTACACTATAAAGCTTTTCTGCTTTTTAACAGTAATGCATGCTTTTCATTTAGTTTACTGTAGTTACAAGCCACATAGAGATCTAATTTTAAAGATGAGAAACTCATAATAGATTTTTGTGCAATTAATTGTGCTGTGATGGGTCAAATATTGATCAATGGAACCTTGTTGCTATGAACTTGTTGCTTTAATGTCAATCTATATTGTTGGTGAAGCAGTTCTGTTAATTTAGTTACTTTATCATTATTTTAATTTGTATAAACCAAAATGTTTGTGAAGTTTTAGTCTCATTTGTTTTTTATAATTTGTTGTCCTCTCTTTAGACAACATCATGTACGTTCTAAAGAAAGGCTCATTTTCATCTACGTGTCATTACCTTTCTCTTTCTCTTTTTCTTGTCACCATTCCTCCGCCCTTTGCAGTTCGTCGCGTGCCCCCACGTTTCTCCATCACGCCCCCCACCATGCAAGAGATCATGCCAGGTGGTAGCATTAACATTACTTGCGTCGCCGTTGGCTCGCCCATGCCCTACGTCAAGTGGATGCTTAACTCTGAGGACCTGACACCCGAGGACGAGATGCCAGTGGGCAGGAACGTTCTGGAGTTAAACGACGTCCATGAGTCGGCCAACTACACCTGCATGGCCATGAGTAGCCTGGGCATCATCGAGGCTAATTCCCAGATCATTGTTAAATGTAAGAATCCACTGACTCCTCCAAGATCACTCAAAGGTTATCTGGTCAAAAGAAATTAAAAACTAAACCAAAGCAAGTATTTCAAATGGTGTCAAGTAGGGCTGCACGATAAATCGAAATCCAAACAGCTGTCATTATCGCGAATGATTTTTCGATTTCATAATCGTGCAATTAAATTGTCTGTGATTTTTTTTGCGTAACTTGTCAGTGATCTACGGCTCTGTGTAGTAAATGCTGCTCCATCTGAAAGCACGTGATGATGATTTACTGCTGATTACAGAATCGGCATTACTAACAAAATGCGCATGACAATCGCATTTGATTAATCGTGCAGCCCTAGTGTCAAGTCCCAGTATTGGATGTTTACGTCTACGGTATTTTCTTATCCCGCCCTGCAGCCTTGCCAAAACCTCCAGGTACTCCTGTTGTAACCGAAACTACCGCCACCAGTATCACCATCACCTGGGACAGTGGCAACCCTGAGCCCGTCTCCCATTACATCATCCAGTATCGTGCCAAATCTCCCGAGAGCAAGTTCGAGACCGTGGAATCCATCACCACCACTCGCTACAGCATTGGAGGACTTTCTCCGAACACCGATTATGAAATCCGGGTGTCAGCCTACAACACCATTGGCCAAGGCCCGCCCAGTGAACCGGTTGAGGCTAGGACTGGGGAGCAAGCTCCCGCCAGCCCACCACGCAACATCCAGGCCCGTATCATCTCCCAGAACACCATGATGGTACGCTGGGATGAACCCGAGGAGCCCAATGGACAGATCAAGGGGTATCGGGTCTACTACACCATGGACCCATCTCAGCCCATGAGCATGTGGCACATCCACAATGTACAGGACAGCGTGATCACCACTATTCAGAGTCTGGTGGCCACTGAGACCTACACCATCAGAGTGTTAGCCTTCACGTCCGTAGGAGATGGACCCTTCTCAGATCCCATTCACGTCAAAGTGCTTCAAGGAGGTTAGTTTGTCAATTTTTAGTGGTTATTTTCAGTGTTGGGTGAGCAAAAGATGTAGCACGGAGAGTTTCGCCATTGAAGAATATCTGTTGCTAATATTGGGCGATCTGATTGAATTTATTAAATTTGAATTGAATTTAGAGATTGATAAAGTCTGTTTTCAGTGTTCAGTGGGCTAACAATGTAGCAAGGTGAGCTAAATGATTGAAAAATGTCTGTTGTCATGTTTGTTGGGCTAACAATGTACAGTAGAAAGGTGAGTTTTGCAATTGAAAAATGTCTGTTGCTAAAACTGGGTGAACTAATAGTGTAGCAAATTGAATTTAGCAATTGAAAATGGCTTTTGTGATTAATAGGCTAAAGTAGCAAATTGATTTAAGGTCTCTGTTATCATTCTTAAGTCCCAAATATGTAGCAAAAGATAGTTTAGCATTTGGAAATGTAGTCAAAAACAACAGGTTAGCGATTGGGTATGTTTGTTTTCAAAGTTTGCAGGATTAGTTAAGCAATCGTAAATGTCATTATAAATGTATTTTGTTTTCAGTGTCACTAAAATGTAAGTACGCTACTTTATCTGGGTTATTGTTCTAACTCAGTTGCCACTGGGTAAATGTTTGCTCTACCACATTCACTAGATATACAGTTGTAAATTTCTTTGTTTATTTAGTTTCATGTCTATTAAACTATCAACACTGGCTCCATTTGTAGTCCCTGGACAGCCGACCAACTTCCAGGTTGGTGAGGTGTCAGACACGAGTGTTGAGCTAACATGGGAACCGGCCTTCGAGAAAGAGGGAATCATCAGTTACGAACTGCATTACAGAGAGGGCAGGCAGGAATCTCAGGTGCCTTCTCCACAACAAACCTTCTCAAATATGTTGTCAGGACCACTGTTGCACATGTCATTAGCAGTAACGTTATTATTTTCGGCCAAACAGGTAAAGAAAACATTCGGGCCAACCTCTTCCTATGTGGTGGAGGGTCTACGTGCAAATACAGAGTACTTCTTCTCTCTGGCTGCCGTCTCCAACAAAGGCATTGGAGCCTTCACCAACGAAATATCCCAAAGGACATCCCAAGCCAGTATGTAGTCCATTTCCTTTCCTAGGGACCCGAATGAAGGGTTGGGGCATTGGGGGGGTCTAATATTGTGTTTTGATTGAGAAATGCTAAGACACAATGGCAATTTTGAGCTTTTGATGGGGTTGGGAGACAACACCACACTGTTTGAAAGGGCCACTGTAACCTTCACCCTCGTTTTCCAATCCAGGGATATTGTTTATCGACTCCAGAAATGTCAAGAGTAAATGATAATGGTGTGCTTGTGTGTGCAGCAGATATGTGTTAAAGACTGGACGCTTGTCTGGTCCCTGGTTTTTGACAGGTGTTCTGCTTCAGGTTTTCTGGCAGTGGTTCTTTGCCTCAGTCCTTTGTGTTGTGTTTGTTTATGCATCTGAATGGCACAAAACAGCATCGCCTTTGAGCCAGAAGTGAGTTTTGCTATATGCAGGCTGCAAAGGTGATGTTGTTTTGATGAAAATATTTCCAAATGACTTGGCAAAGCTTTATGCTTTTGAGTAATTCCTTTCTTTGCACGTTGACAAATTGTTTTAGAAGAAAGATAAAAACGAGCAGAACAAATTTGTGTAAATTGTTTGTAAAAACATTCTTATGTAACACTTCAATGCGTCAGTTTATGTAAGAATGGTCATACACACAATTTTTGCAATTAGTTCTGCTTGTGTTTCATGAATGAGGCCCTCTTACTTTGATGTTTTATACATTATTTATATTTTTAAGAGTCTAAATGTTAAAGCCCAGACTTTTAAATGACCTGTGTTGTTTAGTTTAATGGATATCTTGCCCTTCAGCAGGATGGTGTCACACACACTTTTTATTCTTCTTTGTTTGGTTATTCTTTCATCTGGGTCTCTCTATGTCACAGTAATGTACTTCAGAGATTTCCTACATGTGAAACAAACAAATCAATATGGGTTGATTGATCTGCAGCAAGCGTGCCATTTGGCTCCCCTGCGCGCTCCCTTATTTCTTCTGTGTTCGTATTTCTTTTTCATGTGTCAACAGCAAATGCACTTTTTTTCCTCCCATGCGATTGACCCGCACAAAATATTATTGACTCTGCGGTCTGCCATGGCTTAACAAACATTACATTGTGGATTCCCGAGAGGTAAGTGACCGCCGTTCGGAGGAAAGCCCAGTCTGCCACCTCACTTTTCAGAAATCGGCCACATAACCAACCTGACAAGTGCATATTTGTAGGCGTACAGTGACCTTGAGGTGTAGAACTGTCACATACACCAGTAGAATTGGTTTAGATCCCTTCACAACTTTGCGCAAGCTGGAAAGAGTGCCATCGTCTTCACGGAGAGTTCCCAAGATGTTTAAACACTAATGGGCCAGATTATACAAGTGTTCAACACCAGGATTCCCTCTTCATAGATCTATATTGAACTACACCAAGTGGCAGACTGGACTTCCTCATGAAGGCGTGAAATGAAATTGTATTGTGTTTGTATCTTTTTTGGTACAGTGCTGTTCAGTTGACGCCCAGTCAGGTCACTGTTCGTGGGTCGGCCCACAGTTATGAACCAAAGCCCCTGCAGTGGTCTGGCAGAGAGTACTCACCTCACCCTCCATATCCCCCAACTCTTGTTGTTAACATTGGGGTATATGTCCAGACTCTTGAGGGTTAGTGGAGATAGACACTCCTGCCTTGACCAAGTAGGGGCCAGAGGGAAATGCTTAAGAGTCAATGGCTATTGAGTGATGCTCAGGTTTCAAACATGGCCATAGAGGGTCCACAAACTGGGGGCAAGGGTTACCGCAACGGTCTTTGTCTTGGGTTTAGTGCAAGACCATCTTGGAGGTCCACAAGTGGATTCCAAGTAGCCACAAGTAGAGTCCAATCAGTTCCATCAGTTGTTACACTCGAAGTTGCCAGCGTCCAGCTCACAAACTAATTTCAACCTTTTTAGCCAAACAAATCTGTAATTGCAGTTGTTTTTCACCTCTCATTTTGCTTATTTGAAGCAGCGCTACAATATGGACCTGGATTAAGTCATTATGACAGTTGACATCTTTCGATATTGGTTTTGAGGCACAATTCTTAATTCTGAAGAGTGATTTCATTTGGAGGTCCACAAGTAGCCACATATAGAAGGAGTCCAATCGATTGTTTCACTCATAGAAGTTGCCAGCTTCCAGAGAGATTTCATTTTGAACATTGAAATTCAAGGCTCTTATTGCATGAGTCTAAACCTTCAGGTAGTTCTGCAACTCTCAGATACCAAACTTTCTCGCCGCACTCAAACCAGGTCGATTCACGAGAACTGAATGCAAATATTCCTCAAAAGAGGAAGTACATCTTCAGAATATATCTTCAAATGGAAGATGAAAATCCAGAAAAACTTTGATCCAATGAAGCCCATTTGGTGAATAAATAGGGCTCTGAATAATGTCACCCACTGAACTCTGGGACGGGTGACATCTATGATGAAAGCTGGCTGGTGACGGGACAAATCTGTTTACCATTTCTCAAACAAAAGCACAGCTGGGCTGCTGATGGGTTGAATTGGGGTGGATTATATAACTTGGGTATGAATGGTTGAATGTTAGTGAGGTGCTAGCATCCTGATCTCAATCTTGTGGACCCTCAGGCTAGTGCAAACGGTGAATAGTGCAGACTGATGAAAGCACAGGGAAAGCTCTCTCCCTCCAACCAAAAAAAAACATCCCAACCTCAATGTTATTGGACTAAACTAAATTAAGGTAAATAGTTTGAACTGAGCTGTATTCGGTGAGCTCAGCAGTAGAAGGAGAGGGCCGAACCCAACCAACTCTGGGGAAATATAGTCTCCCTCGAATCGGGTGCTCGTGGTAAGAAAGTCTCTAAAAGTTAGTGTTTGAAGATGTCAGGTACGTATAATGTACAGGAAAATGTGTTTGTGTTTTTGGTTTTTGCTGTTTTTAATGGTCTTACTTTCTGTTTAAAGCTTGGTGGCTTTCCATGATTCTTCTGAGTTGACATTTTGGTTCTAACATTTTCTTTCCAGCCATTGTTTTGCAGAGAGTTTTTCCTCATTTTCCTGTAATCCGTTTTGAATGACTTTGTTTTGCTGGTGCTCATCCATTTGAATTTCAGTCACAAATATGTTTTATCCCCGTCTGTCCGTTTCCCCCCTCATTCATTTGTGTTACTTATGGCTTCAGGGATCAGCACGACAGAGTAACATTTAATTCTCGATTTTACAATGGAGATAAATGTTACAGTGCTTTAAATGGTATAATACTTTCCTATGCGCAAGCATTTAGTAAGCAGAGACTCTGTGCATTTTAAACAAGACTTTGATATTGATTTTGACTTTGACTGGCACAGAAGTTGTCATTTCTGATATGTGCAAGGGGAAGAACCCGACAAAAACGCCTTGAAATACCGCAATGAATGGCCTTCATTCAAATGCAAATAAGATTCCCTCATGGTGGAAATATATCCTGAGAGCCCAGAGTATTTACTGTGAAAGATGGGTTAAATCGTTGGCTCACGTACAGCCGGTTATAGTTGGATAAACTGCTGTATCTTATGCCCAACATCTGTGGTGTTACTTCTAGATCTGTGACACGGACATCAAGCCAAAGTTAAACCTTCATTCATATTTATGTATGCATGCCAAACACCCCGACCCCTTCAAAACCAAGCTCTTCTGTTTGCATTTGCCCTTTGCATTTGTTTTCCTTGTTTTTTTTATGTTTCAGTATGTCTCTGCTTGTTTTTTCAGTTGTTTTTTCCCTTTTATCATTTTCTTTTTCTCTTTCCCATCTTTTCGTTTTTTGTTTTCCACCCCCTCCTCTGCCCCCCTTTCCCAAACTTGAGCAGAGCCCTCCGCCCCCCCTCAAGACATTAAGTGCTCCAGCTCCAGCTCCACCACCCTGCTGGTAAGTTGGCGCCCTCCGCCGGCTGAGAGCCAAAACGGGGCACTGGCCGGGTACATAGTGCACTACGCGGTGGTGGGGGCCGGGGCCGAGGTCAGCACAGAGCCCGTGGAGGAACCAGCAGTGCCACCCACGTCCAGTCAGATCCAGCTGCGGCAGCTGGAGAAATGGACCTTTTACCGAGTCACTGTGGCGGCCTCCACCAGCGTGGGTCCAGGTCCCGAGAGCGAGCCACTGCTCTGCCGCACGGACGAGGACGGTACTGAAACCCTCACTAACATTATTCACCGCAAAGCTTCTTTTCTAGCTAAATTATTAAAATTGACTTGAGAAGCAACACTGTATAACTTGCTTTCATAGATTGAATCTCGAATCTTGAAACGAAATGGCAAGTAATGCATTGAATTAAACATGACATTTTTAAATAGTATTTGTTCGTAAAACATACTCCAATAATCTTAAATGTTTATTCTACACGCATACAAATGGTGTCATTGTATAGAAAACCCCTTGAAATTCAAAATCAGATTGTAATTCTTCAGGAATAACATTATAGATGTTTCGAATATTACAATAAACACTAAGAATGATTTTTCCAGAATTCTGTATTTGAAAGTCTGCTATTCAGGTTCTATTTGCAGAAGCTATCTGCAACTTATATTGTCTGATTCCACTAGGTGCCAAAATGTACCAGAAAAATAATAATTTCCCAAAAGAGCTTCTAAACAGGAGTTATTGAATTATAACTGAAGGGAGTAAAAATTAGGCCCTTTCGCACCACTTTAGTTTCAGAACTAATTGTACGGTACTAAAGTACTGGGACGATTTTGCGCTAACTATTTCCCAGTACCATTTAAAGGGTTGCATTCGCACCGAGAGTGTGTACTAAGAAGTGACGTAAGCCGGTCGACAGCGACGTCATTTGTGCACAGCGTTCAACAACAGAAACAAAGAACTACGTTAACTACAGGAGGATGGAGGACACAGTGATCAGAGCTGTTTTTGTTGTGTCTCGCGGGTTTCACAATAATGGACATGGAAAGTCGACGTATACGTAAAGCGATTGAAAGAACGGAAAGGAGGACTAAGAAACTCCAACGACAACTGCCAGTGCTACATTTGCTACAAGTGCCTGCACTTATGCGTCCGTCCATCTATCGCTGTTCTCCATACTTGCAAAATAAGTTGACATGTTTACAGTATGTTTACAATATGTTTATACAGCGTTTTAAACCATGGCGGGTGAGGGCGTTTTCGTACGTGTTTGGCCAATCAATGTCTACTTACGTCATGATTAGTACCAGTTGTGCTGGTTAGACCCTGCTTCGGAGTAGGAGCTAATTTGGTTCTGGAAAAAGGCAGTCCGGTACTAAAATCGCTCCCAGTTCCGGCAGTGCGAACACGCCGAAAAGTGGGTAGTTCCACAATTAGTTCTGGTACTATGAAAAGGTTCCTGCGGTGCGAAAGGCCCTATTGTCATTTTTTTGTGTCTAGAAGTGTCTTTAGAGTTTCCTTTGCAAAAACAGGTATTATAAAATACATTACCCCCAGAATGCTATTTTACTATGTGCCATAGCAATTGATTATTGATTGAATTATTTTTCATTTTTATCTTTTTCTAGTAGCAATATACAAAATGGCATAAAATAATATCATTTTTTGTGTTTTATACAATGAGTTTTATTCTTTCGGGAGACACAAGACTCTATAAATGATCAAATCTTTGTGGTCTATTACAATCTAAAACAGAATCCACATCCTCCAGCTTTATATCATTCCTTATACGTGCATCATTTTTGTCCCCTGTGTTGAGCATCATCTCAGCATCCCGCCTGCCTCCTGGAGATGAGATGCCAGCTGCTGCTGCTCACTAATCTTCAACAGAAACTGAAACAAATAATTCACTGTTTATGCACATGGTTTTTGCATTATAATAATATCCATTTCACAAGATCAAAATGTATATTTACTGAAATGGTCATTTTATTCTTTTCTGCATACTGCATCCTGTACTGTGCTTTTTTGTCAAAAAAATTGTTTATCAGATTGATTGCTGTGCTTTCATATTTCAAAATAATAATAATCTTTTCTGTGATGCACATCTGCGACAAAACAATAGATTTCTCACCAACAAAAGCACACAGAAATGTGACAATGGTCTCGTTTGAAAGAAAAGATCCTAATCTAAAAGATAATAGAGTTTGTGGCGGACGGAAGCAGTCATACAAGTAGGAATGTGACGCTTGTCTTTGTTTCCTCAGAGGTATCATATTTCACGGCGCGATTCTTTTGAAGATCATTCTATCTATGATTTTCACACAATGAAATACTTTTTGTGTGAGAGCTTTCTTATGATATATGACTTGACTGTTTTGTGAAATATATAAAACATACATATTCAGAGAGATAATTCTTCGCCATCAAAAAGTGGAAATTCGTGTCTGGTACAAATGCATATTTAAGCTTAATTTTACTACTTTATGTATCATAAAACCAATAGTATGTTATTCTTTGTAAAGATTAGAATCTAAGCTTTCAAATTAAGCTTAGATTAAGGACCTACTTTCCTACAGCCACCATATTTGGTCTTATGATTTCCCCCATTCGTTTTCCAGTGACCTTTTATGGTCTCTGGTCGAGCTTAGTAAGAAAATAAATCCAAGATGGTTGAGGAGGCGAGAGAAATGTTGATTATACGTCTGTGTAGACAGCTCACTCTTTTTGGGAGATCTATTGACTAACATTACGTGATAGAGAAAACATTGACTTAGCATCATTTTCATCCTTCACTTCTCTTTGTAAAGCAGTCGGACAGCTTATGGGCACTGAAATAAATCCAGCTAGAGTAAGAAATTGTGTCGGACATTCCCCGATGACAGCAGTCTTTCTCAATGACTGACAGCGCTAGTTCAAGATACAAGCTAGTAATCAATACGGAGCACTGACGCTTTGGGCCGCCCTAGGATAGATGGTTTTGACGGGCTGGTCAACCGCTGTAGGTGGGTCAGGAGAGAGGGAACGCTACCCCAAGACCTCCGATGGGAAATCTCATTTGTCCAACCCACAACATGGAGTTATTTGAGTAGCAATATGTTACGACAGTCACATCCTTGGAGACTTGTACCATTATAGCATCTAATATGGAATAGTCGGGCCCCAATATACAGTACATCCCCTTATGGTGTCTTTTATTGACCATCCAGGAAATGGGTCTCCTCCTTACAGCAGTACTGAATGACCGGAGGTATTAAACATCAGGGCCTCGTATAAAAGGATTTTCATTAGCTCGCAGGTAAAAGACTGCAGACAGCAGATCCGCGAATTGATCAGTGCTCAGATAAGAATGATAGTGAAATGGAAGGGGATGAAATGGTTGCTCGGGTATATGGGGGTGTGAAATTACAGTTGATTAAATGTCCCTGAAGATGGGCGCTTAATCAGTAGCCTGGTTTCACATAATTGAATTTGCGTACTAGCTGAGATGCTAGGGCTTAGTTTCTTTTCAGCCATATCGTGCGGTCTTGAGGTGCTCCATAACTATTGGTACATTGTACTATTTTTAGAACAGATTGAGAGTCTATCCGTGTCGAATCAGATGTAATTAAAGAAGATTTTGTTTATATGTGAGTTCTGTAAAATATTTCATGTAGATCCTAACTTAATAGCTAATAAATGCCGGGGAAGCCATGTTTAGGGAATGATATATCAGGAACTATGATTGCTGCTATGTAGAAAGATGTGTTTTCTTTAAGTCCAAGTGGTTCAGAGTCTCATCAGGGTTGAAATATGTTCATAACTGACCTCTAAATTTGGTAAATAGTGAAATAAGTCTACACGATCAAGTGGTAGTTATAAAAGTAAGTGTGTGAAGAAAATGGATATGCATTCATGTTGAAGTTGAAGTCTCATATAAACAGTTTTATTGCGTTGCAAGATTGACTGAGGTTGTGTAACGCATTTAATGTATATTTGAGCATTTTCATGTGTTTTTTTAAAGCCCCAAAATCGTCTGGAAAGTCATATTTAGGTTATGATATCTCAGGAACTATGATTGCTAGCTATGTATAAATTGGTAGATTGGTAGAAAAATGTGTTCCCTTCAAGTCCAATTGGTTCAGAGACGTATAGGGATAAAAACATTTTTAAAACTGGCCTCTAAATTTGGTAAAAAGTAAAAATTTCTAGATGAGTGAAAGTTAATGCTCATTAAAGACTAAAGATACTAATTAATGTGTTTTGATTGTAAAACTTCACCTTTAATGACGACTTATGTCCTTTTCATCATTAAAATGCCAAGGCAGTTATCACTGCTACTATTGCTCAAACTAACAGTAATATTAACAGAAATTAGGTAAGTAACTCACGTAGCGCAAAGGAACACCATAGCATCATATTGGTGAATTTTGCACAGGCAAAAACCACCATAATTGTTTTAAAAATGTAGTTTTAATGATAATAAAATGGTAATTTCAATCCCTCATTGCATCATCTTCTCTCATCGCAGTGCCCGGGGCCCCCCCTCGGCGTGTAGAGGTCGAGGTGCTCAACTCTACCTCCATCAAGGTGATGTGGCGCTCCCTGTTGCCAGGGAAACAGCACGGGCAGATCCGCGGGTACCAGGTGCACTACGTCCGTGTCGAGAATGGCGAATCTCGCGGCCTGCCCCTCATCAAGGACATCATGCTAGCCGATGCACAGGTATGTTAGCGCGACGATGCCACTGTGATGATTACTAATGTTTCTTGGAGCAAAAAGGTTGTAGTTTATTATTTTACTTGCCAAGTTTCTTTTCAACCAACGTCATCTAGGGTGCGCAGACGATTGGTTAACATCTATTTTTAGGATACTGTTGCAGCAAATGTGGCCCAAAATCTTGCCAGTATTTAACACGCATATAGCCACTGCAACAAATGTATGAAAATCCTTTTATAACGAATTTAATCTGTGAAGTTCTTTTATAGCCTCTAGAATGCTTTTCACAAGCAGTCCAAAACATCTTATCAGCCATTAGAATTGCACGGTTTAGTCAAACCTCTAATAAGTTTAACCTCTAAGGCTCTAGTGTCATAGATAAAGTCAACAAAAGCTGATTATGTCTGCCGTATTGAGCGCCCCGAGATCTCCACAAAAACACGAGGCACTTGAGCACTGTGGTCACAATTCAGACTCGATTTAAAAGCACAAGCAGCAAAAAAAGAAAGAGAGAAGAAAAAGCCAGCGAGCGCCTCTGGCTGCAACCTAAATTTATAATGCAAGCTTCTGTCATGAAACAGCAGTGAAATTACAGATACGAGGCGCTTTATTCTCCTCACAGCTGCAAATATTACAGCTTTGAACAAACCGTGACTAAAACTTATGAATGTTTATGACAGGATCATTTACAGTTGTCACTTGCGTGGGAATCAGTTGATATTATGTCGATGTTTATTGTCTACAAACATTATATATTGCGATCTTTTATTCATCTCATATTGAATTCGTTTTATATATGTAAATATTCAATATTTAGTTTTGTTTTTCAATGAAATTTATTCAATAAGTAGTCAAGGCATATTCATTTGTTTTAAATGTTCATGTATGATTTTAAATAAAAATACATTTTTGGGTGTAAAAATATCACTACAGTATCTTGAGGTGAATTATCCCGATGCTGTTATGCATCAAGTTAAATTTGCATTGCATAAGACAAATCTTTAAGTATTTCTTCGCAGAATTGCCTTTATGATCTGATATCAAACTCCAAAACAGCCATTTTATACTCTTACTAAATGAAATGGTGAAAAAACTGCAGGAATGACATGCTCAGAAAGCAGCGGCCACTCAATCTCCTGCCTCGTCTTCAATCTTCACGATTTTTTTCACCCTAATCCACACTGACCTACTTTAAAACACTCTGCCGTTCTTCCATTTCCTTGGCAATTTTACCTTGTTTGGTCTTACGCTTTCCTCTCTTTCTTTCTGTCTGTCTTTCTCCTCTCTTTCAAAACGCCCTCCCTCTTTCTCCTCCCGGGTGGGGGATGTTAGTGGGAAATGGACGACACAGCTGAATATGTGAGTATGGCTGTCGGGAGAACCTGTGATGTTACATCAGACCTGCTTTGTATCTCGGCCATTGAATGTATTTATAGGCAGAAACTCAGATGGTGTTTTTTACTGGGGAAATGTCATAAACATTGAAAGAATTTTATAATGAACCGAGGTGTGTTTATTTCATGTAGATTCTAGCACATCATGTGTTTTAATAGCTAAAGACGTCTGAGAAGCCATGTTTAGTGTATGATATATCAGGAACTATGATTGCTAGCTTTGTACAAATTGGTAGATTGGTAGAAAAACATGTTCCCTTCAAGTCCTAGGGGTGCAGAGTATCATCAGGGTAGAAATATTATCTAAACTGGCCTCTAAAGTTGGCAAAAAAGTGAAAATTTCAAAACAAACAATGGGTGATAGGGTCTATCGCAGAGGCAAAAACCCAGGTCACGTAAATAACTCAGATGGTGTTTTTCCTTGGAAAAATGTCATAAACACAAAGAAAATGTATTGATGCATATAGGTTCACACATGTATGTTGAAATTAAAGTGTCATGCAATGAGTTTTTTATGTTGTAATATTTTTATAATGAGCTGATTTCTGTCAGAGATAGAAAACAACTAATGCAACCTCACGTCCCTTGTGTGTGTGTGTGTGTGTGTGTGTGTGTGTGTGTGTGTGTGTGTGTGTGTGTGTGTGTGTGTGTGTGTGTGTGTGTGTGAGTGTGTGA